CTCTGGGGCCCACCCAGCCTCCTATCCAATGGGTACCAGGGTCCTTTCCCGGGGGTAAAGCACGGCCGGGGTGTGATGCTGACCACTCACCCCCATCTAGTGCCGAGGTCAAGAATGAGTAGGAGCTATACCTCCACTCCCCCGAAGCGCCTACATGGCGTATAGTGGGACAGATTTACTTTACTTACTTTTATATACAGGACATAATAATGATGATGACTATTAGACAGCAGCAATCTGTAATAGTATATACAGTTGCAAGCAGCAGGGTTAGAATCTGTGATTGTTCAGGCTTGAATCCAGCACACTAACCCACAAACCAAATTACATCTATTGTGCGATCATAAACTTTCTTGGCGAAAATAGACATTAAGAGCGCAAGATTTGTGGGACAGAAGTCTGTATTACAAAATCATCCTGAAACCACTTGTGTACACATATCTACATTTTCATGTAGCTGATGTGTTGGTTTTAGTACTGTAATAGAACTTGATATTAAAGTATAATAGAAGAATGTAATGGTCTTTTTAACCTTGGTCATGAAGTTGTTGGCATTTTTGTCAATGCTACTTATTACTTGGTGCAGCATTAGGTTCATATTGTTCTTCAATGCCTCCTGAAAATCAGTTCCCTCACCATCGTTCATTTCAGACACTGCTTGTGTCTTATTGAATTCCACGTGAAGATCTTCCATCAGTGCTGTTAAATTACCCATTTCTACTGTCATATGCTTCTCATTTTCTATTATTTTTACCTGAAATAACATCAATATAATATAAAAATAAAGGGCAGAAGTGACTTTAAAGACCTGTTTTCAGTTTTGCCTGCAGCGTAGTGTTAGGCATTTCTCTACACTACGCCCGCAGGACACTAAAAGGTTGCATGCAAGAAACCTGCACTTAAAGAATTACATTTAAATAATAATTGCGTGAGTAGTCGTGGCACCTAAATGCGTGATATGTAAGCAGAGAGAGGGGAAGTTCAGTAGTAGTGGGGGTCGCACAGCTTCAGCTGCGGTGACACACCGATCTAAACACAGCCAGAGCTACAAACGAACTGAAGCTGACACCCGCCTAGCATGTGCTTCGGACAGGTCCATCTTGTACGACCAAAATCAGTCCTTTGCACAAGTGCCAGCACTTCTTGCTCGGCCTCTAGTTGTAATTTATACTGACTCATCTATGGGCTACATTATCCAGACTGGTACTATTTATGCTGCTTATTGTAGTACTGATTTTCCAAGTGAATGGGTAAGAGAATGGGATCAGTGTGTTGTATCTCTTACCAGATTTCTGTTATGTTGGTCCTCGAATGCTGTGACATGTTTCTTAATGTCATCAATACCTGTCCCAATATCGGCCAGTTCTGCTTCTATGTCATTTTGACGTCCTGCAGTTGCTTCAAGACGTTCTATTTGGCCTATACCTGTGTCAATAGTTGACTGAAATTATGAAAAATTTAGTTAGCTGGTACATGTAATTAACACTGTATTTATTTAACTCCATTGAACAGAGACGAGTGTACGCTCAGCTAGTCAAGAATGCCCTGCCTTTAATGGAAGGCGCATTACTATGTTCACATATTCTGTCACCAGTTCCTGTACTGAGCCATATGAATCACGTTATTCATCCAAAACTGTGTTTGTATTTATCTCCCTTGCATGCTACATGCCATGCCCATATCATCATCCTTTATTTGATGATCCTAATAATATTTGATGAAGAATACAAATTACGGACTTCCCCACTATTCAGTTTTCTCCACCATTCATCCCTTTTCGATCCAAATATTTATTTCAGCATTTTGATTTCAAACACCCTCAATCTGTATTCTTCCCTTTATGTAAGAGACTGAGTTCCACACCCATACAAAACAAAAGGCAAACTTACAGCTTTTTATGTTTTAATATTTACAACTTAAATAGCAAACAGTACAATGAGATTCTCAACTGCATGGTAAAAAATCACTCCCTTATTTAATTTCATTCTTAATTTATCATGAATACATTTTTGATTTGTTACTGTTGTTCTTAGATATTTGAACTTCCCACATTTTTAATGGATTTATTAGCTAATTTATACAGTGCATTTGCTGATTATGTTGAATTCTACTGTCACTTCCTAGCTCCCAGCTGGAACTGCATGACTTACTAAGCCCTCCAGTGTTTTCTTGATATAAGTTGAGTATCACTCTATATACCTCCAGGTTGGGGGTTGGTCGCAAGGCTAACAACCTTGCACCGTAAAAAGGAAAATGTTTCAAAACCTCAATCAAAGCCTCGGACAGACGGACCTAACAGAAGAAGGCAGCGGAGATAGGACTGAATGGAAGAGGAGAATTGATGAGGCCATGGACCGAATACTGACCGGAGAGCCATAGAAGAAGAATCACTCCATAGAATAATAAAATCAACTTACCTGCATAATAGCAGTTCCTGTTGGTACCTAGGAAGTGACAGTTGTGTTCAACTTTTTCAGCGAACACACTACATTGTCCTGTAGTCTGATGATGAGAAATGAACATGTACTTGGTTTTCTTTGTATTTACTTCCAGGCCATCTTTCTCACTTGCATGAAAGAGCTTCTGTGTTTCTTTTTATGATATCTATGTTTCCACCCAGTAAATTAATGTCAGCATAGATCAGAAACTGATGTGTCCCATTCAGTTTCAGTCCCTGTTTGTTTTTGTTTTTTGGACTTTCCTGACGGCATATTCCAAAGCAGAGTTATAAAGTAGTGGTGATAAAGCATCTGCTGATTTCAGGTCATTCTAAATAGGAAAAGTATCAGACAAGTATTCTCATCATTTACTAAGTCTGAATTGGTAGTCCTTATTACATTAATTTATGCCTTTGTACAGGTCCTTAGTATTATTGTTCTTACTGTTTGTTTCAAGCTCACTGATTTTGTCTTTCAGATATTCCCTTTTTGTTTCTGAAAGTTCTGTTAGCTTCATGTCTTACATTGACCATATTATCTTCATTTGGCTTGGATTCTGCAACCACTGCACTTTAGCTTGCTTCCATTTATCTAATAATTTTGAGGATTCTTCATGAAACCGTGGTTTATGCTGCATTAACTCATCATGACCTAGACTCACTGACTGAAATTTTGACGTGCTCTCTAATATTTTCCGAAGCCTAGTCAATGTCAACGTTGTCATCCAAGATTTTCAAAGCTGCAAATATGTTTGAGATTTTCATCTGAAACTCTTTCTTAACTTCTGCGTCATTTGACTTCTTGAGATTAAATTACTGCATATCACTTTTATGTGGCTTGTTTATTTACCAATAGGCTCTTTCTTAGGTTTACAACCAATTTTGCAGTCATTATCATTGTCAGCTCCTTTAAAAGTTGGGACATCCAGCATATTTTTTATTGCATTCTTTCTATTAGGATGTAATTAACCTTTAAAGGCCCACTGTGTCTTTTAAGATATGATAAGTGTTATCTGTAGTTGGCCCACCTTAAACTTTAAGACATGGCACATCTTGTAACATGCTTTCATGATCATCATATTGGGCTCTCTTCATAAATTTCTTTTTGTCAAAAGGACCCCTTCCTTTTCTTCTATAAATAATTTTGCACAGACTTCCTCGTGTAGTGGATTCTTAATAAATATTGAAACTAATAAAGAACTGTTGTATAGATGACCTATCAAACTAACATTGTACTGACTCGATTAAAGACCTTTGAGTCTACTTCAATTCCACATTCATGTTGACTACATATTTTTGCAGTGTATTAAGTTGATGGATCTTGTTCACACTTAACTTTTTCATTCTCTTATCTTGACTGCCTGTATGTTATAATTTACCTTAGATCAAAGCTGAAGTACACCTCAGTCATTTTGAATTCTATTATAACAACTGATGCCAACAAAAATTGAAATCATCCAGCAGAAGTTTGCAACCCTTTCCTGTAATAATTTTCTCCCCCATGTCCATTACATTTAATCTAATGCTATACAGTATTTAAAACTCCAAACGTTATATATTGCATTAATGCACTGGTTGTTATCTAAGTTTACTGTGGTTTGCAATACTGTCCTTCCTTCCTGGAAGCTGCTGGTCTTCGAATTCCTACATGGTATTTGAGAAACTTTTCTGTGTTCAATTTGAGTCTTTCAGTTAAAAACTGTCCTGCTAGATGTGCATCAGCTGCTAATGTTATCTGCAGGGACTTTAATATCTTTCAAACAAAAATTGTTTCCTGTAATCACATTCTACAATAACTGTGCTACTATCCATATATTAGATATTAATTACATTCAGTATAAATTTATATACATTTCTTCCTCTTTCTCACCTCCTACACTCCTCATATAAATGTAAAATAATATTTTTATTGATCACCTGTAGTTTAGCAATGCTCACGTCAAGTCTTGCCTCCAGGTATCCCAGTCGATGGTTGAGGCGTTCATATGTTGAATCAAGTTTGCGGTTGATTTGATCTTTTGACAATTCCTCCTTCAGTTGTCTTGCACTTATTGACTGTCAAATTATACAAATTGAACAGAAGAATACTTTTCAAAGTTAATGATATCCTTTCATTCCAGGAAATATATAATCTGTATTAATTATACCAGTATTACTAAATAATATGTGAGACAGTCACTAGGCATTTAATTTTAACTGATTATTATTGCTGTGTCTCATGACCAGCGTACAAGACAGAAACTTAATTTTAATTAATCTTATAAAACTCTTTTGTCTTGTATTCTGTTTTTGTCTCAGTTCTTATGTGGGTCCATATGTAGGCCTATGTCCATCTCTATTTTGTTACTTTGCATTCATCTTTTCATATCCAACTAGGTATTTAATTGTTTTACACATTGAATTTTCATGGCATCATATTCCTGAATGTATGGAGATATTGAAGATTTCATAAAAGTAATTTCTCAAGTGATTTTGAGTTTTAACGCTTACAAAACTGGTAATATTGTCACAGGTCCCCCCTCCCCTGCTACAACGGCACAGCCAGGCCAGTCTTGTATATGAAAGCTTTTAGCAATGTCCATATTATGGCAGACCTGACTCAGATAGTTCCTTTAAGCCAATTAGGTCGTGAGATGTGGAAAACAGAATGCAGCGCAATGAAACACAGGTGGACATAGCACGAAGATGCAAACACACGAACCCACACAGGAATGGAGGCAAATGAATGAAAGAATTTGTTAGTAAAGAAGCTGTCAAGGTATTTTCATTGTTTCAGTTAGGTTTATTTAAAAAATTAGTTGCTTTCACTGGGTTTTATGTGTTCTTTGCACAAAGTGCATAGCAAGAATGCATTACGGGTTTGTTGTGTCTGTCTGTCTGTCCGTCTAGTTGGTTCTACTCAATAACCACTGGATAAATTGGGATGGAATTTGATGTGGAGGTTGTGCTATTCTGCATGACCTCAAAATCGTACTTTTAAATATCCTAAGAGAGGTGGTAACACTGATGGAAGAGGAAAGTTCTAAGATTGATATTGTGGTGCTGGAATCTGGTGGCCAAAGTCGGTGGCGGATTTAATACCTCTCAACGCACACTGCAATGAAAGCATGAGGATGTTTTTTGTATTTTGGTATGGAATACACTTTCCAAGCTTGTTTATAAATCCTTTGTTAATGTAGCAAACTTAAAGTACTTGAAGAGCAGTACCATATGGCATTAGTAGGAAGAAAGTATCACAGTGAAACACATTTTACAAATTCATTTTGAAATTTTGCGCATGGTATATCATTTCCTTAATGTTCATTTGCTGTAGGTTAGCGTATCTTCTTGTGAACCATGACAATGATTTTATTCAGTTTTTATAAACTGCCTTCTATTTCATAAAATATTTGTTGCAGGTAAAAGTTATAAATCTTATTGAAATCTGTACAATATTTAATTTCACATACTGACTTTTTGTGTACTGAACTTTCTTTGAGATTAGATTTCATCTTCATACAAAGAAACCTTCTGCTTGACTTTTTATGTGGATTAAATCACTGGGATGGGTAGGTCAAGTAGCATAACACACTTGGACATAACTAAGTATTAATATTCTGTCAGACATACCACTCTCATGCGGATCATAAACAGTGCACTTATTCATGCAGTTAATATAAGCATTTTAGCAACATTTTAGCCATGTATAGCCATTTTCAGGCAGACATGAAATTTAATTGGAAACTATTTACTATGTAGCCTATTCGATGTGCCATTATAAAACATAAAATATTTAGCTAATACAAAATAAGTAACACAGTATGAGGAATGCCTTGTTTTTTGCATGCACTTCTATTATTATTTAAAACATGGTATATTTGGATTGTTGTGTGGCAATTATATGTTGCAGCAGTAAAAACCAGTTTATAATTTTACATAAAGAGGATATTTGGAGTTTAAATTATAAACTTTGGAAAATCATTGTTATTTTAACTTTTCACTTTTAATTATTGTGGATCATGACTGTAATTTTCAGTACATTATGCTTCTTTTTTTTGGAGGGGGACACAGAGTTTGAGAGTTAAGAAACTATATTAGTGACCTCACCAGATAGAAATATTTAAAATATGAGATGAATGGCAGGCAGTTGGATGGACTGAAGCTGAGTAGTCGAGAGAGGAAGCGGAGTTTAAATACCAGAGTTGCTACTAGTGTGTAGTGGAACTGATTACATTACAAATTCATATAAAGGATTACATGTGTCGGCATATGCATAATTAAATAGTAAGCTTAATTATTTATTTTTTTACATATGGTACCTCTTCAGTGAATTTAAGTATGCTCATTAATGTTGGGTATTAGGAACTTCAAAGGTCTTTTCTAAGCTACTATATGAGTGCACCGTATTTAGGATGTGCTTGGAGTAATTATATTTCTCATTGTTATTCCTTATAGCCTGTATATGATCACTGTATCTTACTTTAAGTCTGTCTAATGTAATAATCTTAGCAGAATTTATGGTTGAAAATGCTTATAGAAACAAAGGCTTCAACAGAAATGGGTGGATAGTGTTGTATATACCTTTATAGTTCTCATACTTAGTTTTAAGGAGCAACAGCAGTGAGATGAGGAATGGCTAGTAATTTCTGACAACAGAAAAGATAAATAACCTCTGATAACTTATCCAGTCGTATCTCTAATAGCGTTTCCAGTCGTCCCAACCGTGACTCAATTGTCTCCATCCTCCTGGATTGCTGTTCAATACTGATTTCCCATCGCGGTGTGTATCGTGGTGAATACAGAGTGTCCAGGGCTCGCAGTCTTTCTTCAATTGAGATCAGTACAGTTTGTAGACTCTGCAACATCACACATGCTAGAAAGCAACTTTAAAACTTTTAATCACAGTAATTATTTACGTTGTATATGGTTTAAGGTTGACACAAGCGATAAATATTCACATTATCTGAAAATTGCTTCTCCAAAAGTTGATGTAGTATATGAAAAGACAGAAAGGCAGAAGATTCTGAATTGAATATTGCAAGCTTCCACTGAATTAAGTCTGCTCTTGAGATTTTAGGTTCTTAACGGCAGTGTTCTTCAGCCCTGACGATGGAGACGTATCAAAATTAATGTTTATTAAATTTATTGTCTGATTTCCAACAACTAAATATACGTAAACCATTGTAAACGAGAATTCTTAATCCAAACACGTTCGCGAGATCGAGTTTGATTTGTTACTGCAATTCCCAGATATCTGAACTTTGCCGCCGACATTAAAATCCTCAAAAAGACTACACTGAAAATTTGTGTGGTAGTTTTGCACAAGAATTCCCCACCAAACCTCTGTATGCACCCCTTGCCTCCCCCCCCATGCGCGCTACATGTCTAGCCCATCGGGCCCTCCTAGATTTCACTATCCTCATTATGCTAGGTGGCCTGTACAATTCACGCAGTTCCTCGTTAAATTAAAATGAATTTTATTAGACATGTAAAGATTCGAATTATTGCCACAGCAGATCCTAGGCATAATTTACCACGAAGTAGTCACCCTTGCCCTATGCACCTGACAGGCGAATTGGAGGAGTACGCCTGATCACAGAGGCCAGTATGCCGTAAGGCATCCTTTAGGCCAGTGGTATTAAACATTTTTTGTTCGCGTACCCCCAGATATAATTTCTCTTCAACTTTATACCCCCAAAGTTGTTGGTGTATAATTCAAGTTATACATAGTATATAATCTACATTTTAAATAAATTACATTACTGATTATTCAGTGTTTATCGTATATATATATATATATATATTTTTTAAATTTTACGTACCCCCTAAAATGTCTTCGCGTACCCCAGGTTAAACCACTGCTTTAGGCCACACACCAGTTTTATAATGAGAGGAAATTTATCTTCTATCGAACAAACTTCATGCAACAGAGTCCTTGAGAATCAAATTAAAATCCGAAAGTGTATTACCATGTTCACAAGGACCCCACTTACCACGTCATCCTTTGGTTTAGATAATCTCCCATCCATACGTTGCCCTGATGCAGCATGAATAGCTTTCTCATTTCATTTCTGCTGCAGTTATAGGCTTCTACAATTTGTAAAAAAATGTCGCTCTGGGTAGTAGCGTTCTTGCAACTGGGCCCAAGGTTTGCGGGTTAAACCCCGGCCGAGGTCGATGGATTTTTAAGTGTGATTAAAATCTGTAGCACGAAATAAAGCCGTCGGTCCCGTGTCGTAGATTTATGGCATGTAAAAGAACCTTACGAGCATGATACGAGATGTTTCGTAAGCATAATTCAGCGGCTATTTCTCACCCATGTCTTTCCTAATTTTCTACTAGATGGCTCCAGTAGACATAAATCAGGGTTGAGTAGAAATTGTTCGGAGGCAGCAAGCGTGCCACCTGCTACTCAAAGAGGTAAACAAGACCAATAGGACTAGTTGGCTCGAGCAACTGTCCGGAACTTGGTAGGGGGTGATGATGACAAATTGTAAAAGAAAATCAAAACTGAAAACTGCACCAAGTAGACCCTGTCTCCCATACTGAATAACGTATGGTTTTAGATGACTAAGAAAAGAAAGCGCGTCCTTGTACACTTGAGACCTGAGTCATCACGAGTCGAAACAGGACTATCTGATGACTTGCTTCTATACGCGACCTAAGGTTGATGTCCCTTGGGTGGTTGATCCAGAAACACGTACCGAAGTTACAGGAACACTGGAAAAAATCTCAATGAAGTTTTATTTAAGATGTTCACTGGCATAGCTTAGTTGTTCCGTGTCAGATAAAGAGCTGTCTGAACTAAATTCTCCTCCGAATTACGTAGCTCCATTTACCGTCTCAGCTGAACACTGAGGGAGTCGGAATCCCTCCCTCACGTCGGGAAAAATAAACAATTTCTCGAGACACTACCTTCTTCGGAACCCGGGGCAGAAGCAGTTCGCAGGTTGCGTATGGGCGTGCGTGTTTCTGTCTCGCAATTGCAGCTGATACGAATTTGTCATTGGAGGACTGAAGCTTCAGTACCAGTATTGCACAAACGGTTACACCCATTTGGCTGGTTTAATGACAGATTGGATCAAACTGATAAATATCTATGGACAATTTCCTTCGTCTTGGCCTCTCTTCCGCCATCAGGTAAAACTATGGACCTTAATCATCTGGGTCCATTGGCGATTTCTCAACCCCGGAGTTGGAGAACATATAATTTGACCCAAGCATTTGCTTCGAGCTTGTTATGTAACCTTAGGCGATACATCAGGCATTCCTAACGAAGTATTTTGTGCAACGAGCTGTGTAGTTTCGCCTCGCGATATTCTCAATGTTGGAAATCTTGATTTAAGGAATATGGTGCGTAACGTACGAGGAATCTTGGTTCCTCAAAGCTGTTGCCAACAAAACCTAGAGATATTTCAGGTTTTAGGGTTTCACTGAGATGGAAAAGTGTCTTTTGGACTGTGGTGTAGCGCTGAAGATAGAGGAGCAACGTTGCTGACTGCGTACAGAACTACGCGACGTTGAAAACCGAAAGACCACAGCAAACATTTTCACTAGCGACGATATAGGTTTTTTTAATTAACCAGTTCTGAAGCATCAGCCAGATGACTTCGCGAGCAATTGAGGCTGGAGAAAGTCAGCGCTCTTTAATGTTCGGCATGAACTTTCTTTATGTTGCTAGATGTGTTTGTCGTCACATGAGATTAAAATATGTTGATTTTTACATTATATTGTATGCAATCAGAAAAAAATATTTGTGTTTTGTTGTCAGACACAACTTCTATACTATAATCTGTGTCAATATCGAGGGTTACATGTTTCGGCATGTACTATCAGACCTTATTCATACACAACTTCCATAGGAATGAGAAAATTGATAAATTGTAGGTCATGCATATTGTGCTATAAAACATAATTCTAATTCTCAACACTTTCTTTCTGTTCATATATATGTTTTAACATGTTATATAATTATACGTTAAGTTACATAAAAGGCATACTTCTCAATAACGTCCCGAATAAGCGTCAGAAGGGAAATATATATTTGTTTTCCGTGTTTTTGATGCAGCTGTGTCCAGAATATCTCTTAGCATTCTTTCAAAAATATCGTGATATTATCTCTTGTTTGTATCGGTGCGAAGCGTAATCTCTTATTCAGGCGTCCTTTGGCTTAGGGAATGATTAGCCCGAGCACACACGCACATACATAGTCAGTCAAAGTTACAACAGCGTCAGAACTCGAAACGAAGTTTGACAAGATTCTGGTGTGTAATACTCGTAAAATTATGTATCCCGACAATACATTGAAGATAGATAAGCAATTTAAAAGCGTATATCAAATCTAAAACTTCTTGACGATGGTGAAGAGTCATTTGAATAAAAATTTTCTTGGATATTATCCATCGTCTAGTAAAATATAAAACGTAAAACGACGTTTCGGAGATGGGGCTCTATCTCCGTCTTCAGGTTCCTACTCAGATGGGCCCACTAGATAGAGCTAAGCTGTAGCATTATTACGGTAATGGAAAAGGTCATGATGAGGAAATGTTTTGATATTACAATTTTATAAATGGACCGCGAGATGTAAACGATTGGCATGCTACTTGATAGAGCCACAGGTAACCGTTTTCCATGGCATGGATTTTACCAAAAAATGAACAGTTACGGACATTATTCAGGTGCAACTTTCCATCTATCTTCCTTTCATTTATTTCAGTGCGTCCTGTGCCCCGCGGGCTTATTGAGAATCTTTTGCGCGCTCTCCGAAACGTATTTTCCCGGGTTCAAGACCAGCTGTCCTGACTGAGGTTTATTCATGATTTTCTTTAGTACAGGCATACCTCGTTTTATTGCGATTCGCAGATATTGCGTTCTTTTAGAAATTGAAGGTTTGTGGCAACCCTGCGTCGAGCAAGTCTATCGGCGCCATTTTTCCATTAGCATGTGCTCACTTCGTGTCTCTGTGTCACATTTTGGTAATTCTCGCAATGCACACTTAATAGACTACAGTATAGTGTAAACATAACTTTTATATGCACTGGGAAACTAAAAAATTCGTGTGACTCGCTTTATTGCCGTGGTCTGGAACCGAATCCGCAATATATCCGAGGTATGCCTGTAACTTCATTCAAATGCCGACATATCACACGATCAAGCTGCTCCAAAATAAACATACATCTATTTGTTGTTTCTTAGTTTAGCTATGCAACAGCATTGTGTGTCTGCTTTTTATATTACGTCGAATGAAAAATTATGATCTGGGAGAAAACGGTGCATGGCCTCTTCAAAGGCACTGTGTCGGTGTTTGTAGGGACTGAGGAAACCCACGATAGTACACGCTCAAAACAGCAGACCCCTGAGCCGAAAATCGAACATGGTACCTCCGTAATGAAGTACTCTAGCGCGACGTTTGGTGCAGATATTATAGTTGTGTTCCAAAGTGTATGGTAGAGGGACCTCGATATCAAGGACTCCTGTACTATCCCCTGAGTAACTAAGACCCATCCGCAAACGTTCCTGGCTCAGAGACGCCATGTCAACCCCTTACGTCAATATATCGCCTTCAAAGTTGTGTTTATTTTCAAAGAGGGCTGTGAATGTTGAATTTCTACAAAGGAAAGTAGCTCTGCTGTAGAAGGGAAAATATCAGTCAGGGTGTTTGGGAACAGTTAAAGGGTGTAATCAGTTATGCTTCTCTCCTGGTGTTATCAGGATAGACGTCAAAGAAGTTAAGGTGAGCTAGACATTTAGATTTTGTAGTGAATATGTCTTCGTAAATGACACTTGGAAGACCTGAGGATACTGTTAAAGTATAAATATTTTTCGGTAATGGGAATTATATTTAACTGCCTCAAGA